TTAATCGGACGGTTCGTATCGCATTAAACCGATAAGATAACCGAATTCATTTATTACCGCAATTAGGTCACGTTTTTCACATTTCAACATTAAGTGGGTCACGATAATTTCAACAATGAGTTGAAAAAAATTAAGGCTAAGGCAAGTCAATTGATATTGATCACACATGAACGAATACTGAGAAAGATACAACGAGAATAAATTGATTTAACAACGTAATATTAATTTATTAAAATAAGTTAAATTTTTTTTCTTATACATTTCATCTACTTTACATCACATATTTTGTTACATAGAGTATCTTATATTTGTGAGAGACTTTAATAATAGATCTTATATAATAGAAATATTGAATTACAAAATTTCAAATTTTTGTTTAACAATAAACTTACCAATGCAACGCGCTTTCCGTAGATCTACGTGTTCAAAGTTCACAGCATAATTCACAGCAGACTCCAAGGTTTTCGTGTAAGTCAGTATTCTTTGTTGCAAGAGAACCCAAGCTGGGAACCAAGTACCTGTTACACCTTCCTAAAGATAAAAATACAAAGGATACATTGTAATCGAAGAAAAATAGAAGATATGTTTCATATTTTTCAATTCAGTCAAAAGGAATTTAGCAATATACTGTGACAATGGAATCCGAAATATTCAGAACGTCCGCAAAATTGTAGAAAAGGAATTTGCATATCAAAGCATATAGGTTTCCGCTTTCGCAAGCGCGAAAACGTTTTTAACAGCAAACATTGAGAATTTTGTGGTATATCATATAATAATGGTATTTTCAAGTAAATTTCCAAACTTTAATGTTGAAATAATTCTATTTTAAATAATTTCTTAACATTACGCAGTTAAAAAAAATGTTAGAACCTACATTAACGAAAAAAGTATATCAAGTATATATCAATTCGACGTACCTTAAAATACGACTGATGTAAGCTTGCAAATTTATTATAATAGATTAATATAAGATTGTAGGACGTAATCAAAAAATATGTGAAAGTGAACGATTCTTGGTGATTAATTACACATCGAACTTTTCATACATTATTTTTACTAATTTTTATTAATTTGTTTTTGTGTTCAAAGATATTGATTTTATTACATTACTTTTAGATATATATACCTTTAAGTAAGCCCAACCTGCTCTGGTGAATTCAGCGGAGTACTTTGTGGGAAAAATCGGTGTGCTCGCTTCTAGGATTCTCTGAGCCCAAATTCGTCTCTCGGCAACACCTTTCGCATAGAAAATATGCACACTCGGTCTGCCCGCGCCACTAATCGCTATGCAATGCACCGTCTCGCTGTCCATGGTTCTGCACATTTTGTAATTATCTTCATCAAGTAATCACGATGACCAGCTGACGAGCTAGCTACATCTGATGTGCCAATCGTATGATGAGTCAAAGGGAAGTAAAGATACGTAGCGTTAAATACAGATTACACGCATTGACATATGAAGCGAAGAAAACTGCGCATTTAGGATCATGCTATTGCATTGGAAGTTAACAATTTCTCAAGAAAAGGTTGGTAAAAGAACTTATCATTGCGTTTATATGTATAATGTAGTATATATTTGCGATATACATGTATATTTATAATATTTAAATTATAATAAATAATTTAATTGTTTTTTCATATTATATATATGTTTGAACATTTTAGAGAAACGATCCTCTTTCGTGAAATCCTTTTCTTCTCATTTAACAAAGAAGACCTTGAGGCTTCTCTTGTAGAATAAGAGAG